CCCTGTATGTGTAAAGGGATACTATGTTACTGTAAGCATAAATACACTAACCATTGTGAGATGCTCAGATATTGCAGTGATGGGTTGTAACGGAGCACAAGTTGTGCTCTGTTACTCACAGGATGTGAGCAGACAGCAAAGCAGTCTGCAGGTGGCTGCACTCCCAGTCAGGCCCAGCTGTTCCCTATAAGAACAGGATTCTGAGCAGCAAAGCCAGCACTCTGCTGTAAGCAGCCAGGAGAAGAACACCACCTGACTGGAGCTGTTGCTTATGCCATCTTGCAGGTACAGGGAAGGAGCTATGGGGAAAGTGGAAGCTCCTGATCCTGGGGTATAGCCTAAAACTACACCCTGCTGGGGAGGATGCTGTGGTGGGACTGCCTGTGGCAGGGCAGTCCTCAGGAAATGCCATACCTGTACCTCCCTAGGGAATGGAGAGTATAGGGTGCTGAGAAAAAGCCTCAGCCCCCACTGCTTTGTGGGTTACCTGTGGAGGGGAAAGGCTAGGGGAGCACACCCTAAAGTCATAGCAGGAGCCTAGGCTCACAGTGAGTCCTGAGGTAGGTCCCAGGTCAGGAAGGGACCTGAGGCAGCTTTCAGGCTCACTGTGAGTCCTGAGTTGCATTAAGGGAGCTGGGTGTGAGACTCCAGAGGGGTGGGGCCCTGCACCTATGGGGAGCTGGTTGTGAAGCCTCTAGGCCAAGGGATAAGGGGACAGTGAAGTTCAGTGTTGGGCAGGGGATGAGGCCCCAGTGTAGGGTCATGAGGGGACCAAAAGGGTCCTGAGCCGGGCGATTCCCGAGGAACAGGGAGGGGTTGAGAGCCACGATGGATTGAGTGGCCTGGTGTTTGCCTAAACAAGTTATAGGCCAGGTGTTAGGCCATGGATGCCATCTGCAAGGCATGGGACACAGTATAGGGAAGGATGGAGCCATGTATAGAGGCTCTTGCCATCAGGGCAAGTATATTGGCAGTCTCCTGTGTGAGTATCATCTTCCAATCAGTACCATCACAGCATGGCAGGAGATTAGCTGTATGACAAGTAGGCAGGCCAACAATTTGACTGGCCCCAGACACTCACTTGTTTCATGGGTGTAAAACTTTACATTAGGGCTGTCAAAAGATTAAAAAAAATTGATTACAATTAGTTGGGCAATAAAAAAAAATAGTTGCAATTAATTGCTATTTTAATTGCACAGCTAAAAATGCAAAATTATGAGCAGAAAAACTCAGTTATGCAAAATGATGCAGGCACTTTGTATGGTTGGGGGGGTGTGTGTGGGGTGTGTGTGAGGGGGAATTTGTGAAGGTGTTGGGGCTGTGTGTGTGGGGTTTGGAGCCCAGAGAGAGGGGTTCCTGCATACCCTGGCAGGATGTGGGTCAGGAGGGAGGAGGAGCAGCAGAGCTAGAGGGGCTGTGGCTTGGGAGTTTGGGGCAGGAAGACACACACACACACACCCCCCCCCCCCAGCAAGTAAGTATATGGGAGGGAAAGGGTTGGGGGGGGGGGCAGATCGAGGCCCTCATGGTGTGGGAGGGAGTGGAGTAGGGCCAAGGGTGAGGCAGAGGCATGGGCCCTGGGACCGCAGCAGATCGTAGGATGGAACTGCAGGTGGTTTGTTCAGGGGTGCAGGGGGGAGGTGCTCCCACTGCTGTGTCTACTCCCGGGGGAGGCATAGGGGACACATGTCCCCTGGATTTGTGGGGGGTTGAGGTGGGTTGCTGCTGTGCACTGGGCTCTGCACCGCTCTGCCATTGCTCCAGGAGCTGCATAATTCCATGCTGTGCCTCCTGCTACCCGGCGGGGAAGGGACGCGGTGCAGCACCCCTTTGGCAAAGGCAGCAGGGTGCAAAGTCCAAGTCTGCAGCAGCAGCCCACCTTCATCCTGCACACAAATCCAGGAGGCATGTGCCCTGCATGCCTCCCTCGGGGTGCACAGAGTGTGGGAGCAACCTACGCCCCTGGACAAGCTGCCTGCAGCTCCATCCCACAACCCGCTCTGGCCCCGGGGACCTATTCGCCCTGGTCCCTACCCCTGCCCCAGCTCCACGCAGTTTGCTTTTCTCCAGACTACATAATCCCAGTTCCCTCAGCCTCTCATAAATCCTGTTCCCCAGCCTCCTAACCATTTTCATTGCCATCCGCTGATCTCTAATTTGTCTGCATTCTTTCTGTAGCAGGGGTCCCAAAACTGGACACAGTACTCCAGATGTGGCCTCACCAGTGCAGTGTAGAGGGGAATAATCACTTCCCTCAATCTGCTGACAATGCTTCTGCTAATGCAGCTCAGTATGCTGTTAGCCTTCTTCCTGAGGTCACACTATTCACTCATATTCAGCTTATTGTCCACTGTAACCCTCAAGTCCTTTTCTGCAAAGCTGCTACTTTGCCAATCAGTCCCCAGCCTGTACTGGTGCATGGGATTGTTCAGTCCTAAATTCAGGACTTTGCACTTGTCCTTATTGAACTTCATGAGATTCCTTTTGGTCTAATCCTCCAATTTCTCTGAGTCTCTCTGAATCCTAGTCCCACCCTCCAGCATACCTACCACTCCACCTAGCTCCACTCTAGCCACAAACTTGCTGAGGGTGCACTCTGCCCCATCTTCCAGATAGTTGATGAAAATATTGAACAAAACTGGCCCCAAGACCAACTCCTGGGCACTCCACTTGATACCAGCTGCCAACTAGATACTGAACCATTGATTACTATCCTCTGAGTCTGATGACCCAGTCAGTTTTCTATCTGCCTTACAGTCCATTTATCTAACCCAGACTTCCTTAGCTTGCTCATGAGAATGCTGTGGGAGACTATATCAAAAGCCTTGCTAAAAATAAGGTATATCATATCCGCTGCTTGCCCCTCATCCACAGGGGCAGTCATCTCATCATAGAAGGCAATCAGTTTGGTCAGGCATGACTTGCCCTTGGTGAATCCTTGCTGACTGTTCCTGATCATCTACTTCCTCTCCAAGTGCTTAGAAATGAATTCCTTGAGGATCTACTCCATGATTTTTCCAGGGATTGAGATGAGGCTGACTGGTCTGTGGTTTGCTGGATCCTTCTTCTTCCCCTTCTTAAAGATGGACACTGTATTTGCCCTTTTTCAATCATCTGGGACCTCTCCTGTTTGCTACAAGTTTGCAAAGATAATGGCTGGTAGCTCTGCAATCACATCAGCCAACTTTTTCAGTGCCCTTGGGTGCATCACATCCTGCTTCTATTTCCTAGTCTTCCTGCACATCAGGACAGATTGTTCCTATGCCCTCAGTAAGGTTTCTTTAAAATACCACAAACTCTCCAGGACTCCTTTCCCTCTCAGACTGGCTTCCCTCTTCTTTTCCAGTGTCCTCTGTATGTACATAGCAAAAGGTAAGAATCATAGAAAGCTAGGGTTGGAAGGGACCTAAGGAGGTCATCTAGTCCAACCCCCTGCTCAAAGCAGGACCAATCCCCAATTAGATTATCCCAGCCAAAGTTATGTCTAGCCAGGTTCTGAAAACTCCCAAAGTTGGAGCTTCCACCACTTTTCTGGGTAATCTGTTCCAGGGTTTTACTACCCTTCTAGTGATAATTCTTGCTAATATCTAACTTAAAGTTCCCTTGCTGCTTGAGCAACTTGAGACCATTGCTCCTTGTTCTGTCATTATGCCACCACTAAGAATAGCTTAGCTCCACATCCTTTTTATAGTGGGGGGCCCAAAACTGAACCCAGTACTCCAGATGTGTTCTCACCAGTGCTGAGTAGAGGGGAATAATCACTTCCCTGGACCTACTGGCATCACATCTACCAATGCAGCCCAGTATGCCATTAGCCTTCTTTGCAACAAGGGCACACTGCTGGCTCATATCCAGCTTGTTGTCCACTGTGACTCCCAGGCCCTTTTCTGCAGAGCTGCTGCCCAGCCAGTCACCCCCCAGCCTGTACTGGTGCATGGGACTGTTCCATCCTAAGTGCAGAACTTTGCACTTGTCCTTGTTGAACCTCATGAGATTTCTTTTGGCCCAATCTCCAATTTGTCTAGGTCACTGAATCCTAGCCCTACCCTCCAGTGTATCTACTTCTCCTCCTCGTTTTGTATCATCTGCAAACTTGCTGAGGGTGCACTCTGTCATCTTCCAGGTCACTGATGAAGACATTCCAGTACTGATCCCTGGGTGACTCCCCTTGATACTGGCTGCAAACTAGACATTAAGCCATTGATTACTACTTTCTCTCAATGCTCCAGCCAGTTTTTCTATCCACCTTACAGTCCATTCATCCAGCCCATACTTCCTTAGCTGGCCTGCAAGAACGTTGTGGGAGATTGTATCAAAAGCGTTGCTCTGTGGATGCAGGGAGACACCAGTGGATGTACCTTGACTTTAGCAAGTCACCTTGTCATAGAAGGCAATCAGGATGGTCAGGCATGATTTGCCCTTGGTGAATCCATGCTGACTGTTTCTAATCACCCTCTTCTCCTCCAAGTGCTTAGAAATGGATTCCTTGAGGATCTGCTCCATGATTTTTTCCAGGGATTGAGGCAGGGCTTACTGGTCTATAGTTCCCTGGATCTTCCTTTTTCCCTTTCTTAAATATGGGCACTATGTTTGCCCTCTTCCCATCGTCTGGGACCTCTCCTGATTGCCATGAGTTTTCAAAGATGATGGCCAATGGCTCTGCAATCATATCAGCCAACTCCCTCAGCACCCTTAGGTGCATCCCATCTGGCCCCATGGACCTGTACACATTCAGCTTTTCTAAGTCGTCCCTAGCCTGTTCTTTCACCACTGAAGGTTGCTCGTTTCCTCCCCAAACTGTGCTGTCTGGTGCAGCAGTTTGGGAGCTGACCTTGTCTGTGAGATGGAGGCAAAAAAGGCAGTAAGCCCTTCAGCCTTTTCTGCATCCTCTGTCACTAGGTTGTTTCTCCCGTTCAGTAAGGGACTTACACTTTCCCTGATCTTCCTCTTGCTACCAACATATTTGTAGAAACCCTTCTCATTACCCTTCACATCCCTTGCTTAGCTGCAACTCCAGTTGTGCTTTGGCCTTCCTGACTTCATCCTTGCATGCCCAAGCAATATTCTTATATTCTTCCCCAGTTATTTCTTCAAGTTTCCACTCCTTATAAGCTGCCTTTTTGTGAGTAAGTTTACTGAACAGTTCCCTGCTAAGCCAATCTGTTTTTCTACCATACTTGGTAGCTTTCCTGTGCATTGGAATGGTTTCTCCCTGCACTCTCAGTAAGGCTTCCTTAAAGTACAGCCAGCTCTCCTGGACTCCTCTTCCCCTCAATTTGGCTTCCCAGGGGATCATGCCCATGAGTTTCCCTGAATGAGTCAGTCTGCTTTTCTGAAGTCCAGGGTCCTTACTCTGACTGACATTTGATTTCTTCTTCTTTCTCTCTTACAGCATGAAGTTGTCATTAGGTATTTTGATGGCTTTATACGATATGGCGCAAGCTACAAGGACCGTATTTATTTCTCTGGGAAACCAGACGAAGGTGACTTCAGCATCACCCTCACAGAGGTGACTATGGAAGACAATGGAACTTATGCATGTGGTGTTCACCTGCGTATGGAGACCGTCGAACCGGCGTATGTGGCTCTTTTTGTCCTTGGTAAGGTGTTGTACTCCTTGAACTAGCACTGAACCAATGACCCAGTGTAACAACTGATAGTACTAAGCAGCAAGTGAGACTTGGTGTTGGTGACTCAGTAGACCATCCTTTGAGCTGGTACTGATCCAATACCACAGGGTAAAAAAGGAACAAGAATTCCATGTACCTTTTTATTTGGAGAGGAACATATAGAATTAAGTAGCAGTGAACCAAGGAGAGAGTTAACATGTGTTGACTGGAGAGGGAGTGTATACCACCTCATATGTTAGAAATACAAAACTCTAGAACTCTTGGTTCTGAGATGATACCTTTTTTAAGACCAACTAAGACATTGCAAAAAAAATTATCTTAAAGAAATTGCAATTTCTTAGCTGGTCTAATAAAAGGTATCATCTCTGAACCAAGAGTTCTAGACTTCTACATTTATTTTTCTTGTCTCAGACCAATATGGCTACCAAATACATCCACCCCACATGAACATTCATTCCTGAACTGGGGAGCATGTTCTTGGAGGGAAAGGCAAATGGTAACAGAGCACAAAGAAGAAAGAGAAACAGAAGAGGAAAAAAAAAAAAAGCAGCAATTCCAGCTTTCAGAGGATTGTATGATTAGGGCCAGCACTTGTTCAGGAAAAAACACGCCGGTGCAAGGGACAGGTCAGAAAGGAAAAGGGCTCAGCAGCTTACATGCATATTAGTGTACAGCACTGCATTTGCTCAGGTCCCTGTACCTTTTTTTTTTTTTCTTTTCTAGTGGAACCCTCCAAACCAGACTGTGCGATCCAGGGGACACCACAGTATGGACACACAGTCAACCTGACCTGCAACTCTCGTGAAGGTTCTCCAAAACCCGTGTATACCTGGCAGAGTTTCAATGTGCAGAACCAGCCCCGGCCACTGCAGGCAACACAAGGTATAGGAGGCACAAAAAGCCTTTTCTTTCAGGCCATGGCATGCTCCATGAACATGGGGATTTGAAACTCTTGGGATTGCTAGTTCACCTAGGGCTTTGTAGATGGTCCTGTTAAAAATGAGGACTTTTAGAAGTTGCCTTCCTGTGATGCACTGGCCAGCTACAGTAGCAATGGCAGAATAAGCCTCTCCCATCTAACTCAGTGTAACCCATGTCAGAACCTGTCAGAAGTCACAGATCTTGCTGACTTGGGGGCTGTGTGAAATAACAAGTGGGTTTTGGTCACTTATTTTCTGTATTATAACCCAACACAACTGACTGTTTCCTTAATAAAACTACCATCTGTGAGGTCAAAGAGCGAACTGGCCAGAAATTTACTACTTTTTCCTCTATAAGTAATACTCCATGTTCAGGCTGATGGAGGGTAGCATGAGGAAAATGGTGAATATTCAGAAGCCTTTTAAGTCTAGGGCCATTGCACCTAGCATTAAGATACAAATGATAAGTAAATATATTAAGTACTGCCTGGGAAAGAAGAACTGCTTTCTTAAGAATTAGAAGCAAGGACGATTTTCTCAAAAGGAAATGATAATGTTGCAGCCTCTGAAGTGCAAGCAATGAATAGGAGGTAGTGACATAAAAGAGGCCCTTTAGATTTATTACCAGATGCTCCCATTGGTTTCTTCTCTGTTCACCTCCAGAAATACTAAGCATGTGCATGTTCAGATCTATTCTTATGGCACTGGGTGTGCAGATGAGATAAATTTGATCCAGACTGGGCAGGGCATTAATCCTCACTACACAACATTTGTTTAAATTGATGCCAAGGAGGAAATCCACATAGAACATATACATCCAGTTCACTTGACTAGTCACTAGGTGGTGTTGCTGCATCAAAAACCATGAACATGATTCATTTTCTAAAGAGAACAAACCACTCAGGGCTTCTGCCTTGCACTCTTCCTCCCCAGGAGTAGGCATTTGGTCCAGTCCACCTTTGTTTGTTGTTTTTTTTTTTTTTTCCCCCCCCCCCCCAGGACAGGGGAAGTGTTGTCTCTTAGAGGTGCAGAAGGGTGCCCTCTATTGGGTCTGGCAGCAAAAGGCACACAATATCACTACGGTGTGCATTTGGACTTCCCTTGGGATCCATCCCACCGATTCTGGTGCTGGTGGGACACTTCCCATCTTTCTGGTCTGGTGTAGGTCTTTTCAGCTCGGCTCATAGGCTAGCTACTCTGTTTGTTTTGAGAGTTGCAACCCACATTGTGACTTTCAAAGCTGGAAATATCATCCTGTCAAAGGAAGCAGCAGTCCAGGTGTACTGAGAAAAAGGTTCAATGCATCAAAAATGTGAAGGTCTGACATTAATTTGGTCTCGCAGCCTTTTATGCCATCTGGCCACTAGCTGGCAGCAGAGATATGGGCAACAGTGGCCAAATAGCTGAAATCAGGGCAGAGGGCTAAAAATAAAGGTGGCAATATCTGTCAAATGCAGGGGTAACATCCCATTATGGAGACAGCACTCCACGTGTGAGAGAGATGTGGAGGTGTCAGTTAAGACATTAGGACTCACCACAGCTCCTTTAAACAATGGGGAGATGGATTTTTTTTTTTTTTTTTTTTTTTTTTAATCTGTGAATCATTTCAAGGTGGCTATGCCATCTGGGGTGGAAACAGCTTGAATAAAGGCAGAAGGTAGGGCAGATGGCACCTTAGAGGCTGGTTCAGAGAGGCATGAGCTTCTGTTGGTGCAGCCCACTTTGTCAGCTGCTAAACTAAATAAGCTGCAATTAGCACAGGGTGAAGTTCTATTACTAAAGGCACCTAAAACACAAGTGTCTGTATGTGAAAGCTTGTTAACTTGCGCGAAGCGCCCCCTCCAAGTTGCACCACTTCAGAAGAGGGTTAACTCTGGCCTGTGCCACCTAGCTTGTGTTAGGGTAACTTCTACCTGCTTCATGGAGATGAAACAAGCAATATGCAGTCCTCCAGCATCCCAGGATGCACCACACTCTGTTCCTTCTCCTGCCCAGAGCCTAGGTATCCTGACTTTTAGCTACACCCCTGCTCACCAGCCTTCCAGTGACAAGTCAGAACTATGCAATCAAGAAACGACATTAACCTTAATGTGAGACTGCTCACAGCGAGTTCTAACTTTAACACCACTTAACATGCTGCAGATTTAGTATGGTCTAAGTGTAACTTGTAACTTCACCCTTGCAGATGTACACAGAATTGGGGGGGGAGTGGGACTTAGCACATTTTATTTTGAATACTTCACAAGTACTTAAAGCAGGACAAGGGACCCATACCCACTGTCAGAAATGCTCCGTCTGTTTACACCTTAAGGCAGGGGTGGGCAAAATATGGCCTGTGGGGCCCCTAAAAATTTAGAAAATATTTATCTTCTCCTGGCTGCCTGTCAAAGACAACAAGAGCCAGGGGCAGTAGGAAACAGGGGGTGCTGTCAGCAGGATGCAGGCAGCCCAGCCTCACCCCACTCCCAGCTATTTCCCTGCCTTCCTGCCCCCGCACTGCTCTAGCACCACATAGCTCCCAGCTGCATCGCCGGGGCTTGGGAGCATGGGGCCTATACCAGTATGGAGGGGAGGGGGGGTATAGCGAGGGACAGTGTGTGTGTGTGTAGGGCGAGTCCCACATGCACACCCCACCATACACATGCACCCCCTCCCTTTGCAGACCCCTCCGCACACATTGCCCCCCACAAACCCCATACTCTCCCACACCCCACTTATCCACACACAGTTTCCTCACCCTATGCCTATCCACCCCTCCCCCACACTCCACATACCCACAGCTCGCCACAAACCTATACCCATCCCCCATAATATACAAGAGTAAGACTTCATTTTAAGCTGTTGTGTAATCACCTCTGTGCACTACACAAACACATAAATCAGGACAAAAATATTTCTTGAAATCAAATTAATGAATGTTTTAGATGTTTGATTTTTTGAAGATAATTTGGTATTTTTCTGGCTTGGAGATTAGCAAAACCCCTTGCTGAAAGGAGTACATCTGGGGGCAAAGGGAGGGACTTCTGGTGGCTAAGGTCAGGGGTTAGGGGGTGGGACTTCCAGTCACAAGATGCTAACCAGGAGGTGGGGGCACCTGTCAAGGGGCAGGACTACCCATGCAGCCCTCAACAGTTTGCCAAAGCTCAGTGAGTGGCCCTCCACTCGAAATAATTGCCTGCCCGTGCCCTAAGGTGCCACCCTGCCCTTCCTTCTGCCTGACTTCAAACTAACACAGCTAATCACCTCTCTAGCTAGACTAAAGTGAGGTTTATATTGGTGTAAGTTAATACTTACTTTTGTAACCGAGCTCCACTATGTGGAAGGTGGGGTGGGTGAGGGGAGGGGAGGGGAACGTGTGGCTTTCTTGCACTCCCTGGTAAATAGGTTTCTCTCTTAGATTATTTACATAGCCAAAATGGCCTTTACCTGACCTACCTAGCCAGGAAAGTTCTCCCAGTATTCCCTTTGTGGTAGATAATTCCAACATGAAATCCAAGAAGCTGCTGGATGAAGAAACCTCATTATACTAAAAGCATGAATTTGCTTGATGGTCATTCTTCCTGATGGTGTCAGCTGCCAAAACTGTTGACAGTGCCATATTTTTGCCACAGCACGAGGCCACAGGCAGAGAAAAGTGGAAAAGACCAACCCCTGCTAAACATTCACAGTCTTAGCCCTACCCACAGTTTCATTGCTAAAAAGAAAAATCTGAATGCCACCTACTTCTGGTGACCAAGGGGCACATCTCTAATTATCCAGTTTCATTAGGAACTGTCTGGAAGCTGCCAAACTAAACACCTGTGAGCCACAAAAACAAGTCATTACTTGTAACAGCTTTTCATTACTCCCACCCAAACTCGATTTGAACTTGCAGCTGAGAAAGAAAGGGTTCCTTCCTCCTGTTCCCTTCTATGATTTAATCCCCTCCACTTTTTTTTCTGGGTTTCTGTTTTGCAACAGGACAGCTGATAACTTTAAAGAACGTCTCTGCAGAAACCTCTGGTTTTTACATCTGTACTTCCACAAACAGTGTTGGACACCAGTTCTGCAACATGACTGTCAGCATTATGCCACGTAAGAGTCCTGGCTACCGGTAACTTTTTGTGGTATTGGAAAGCATGTTCAGGCTACAAGGCAAGCAGGGGACTAAAAAGGTACCACTAGAGGGACAAGTAAAAATGTAAAATCCACCCCCTCAAGGAACTACCCTGTCTCAGAGCTCCGCAAAAATTCCACTGCTTTGATTGAAGCCCTCATGTTTAGCGCTGTCTATAATAATCATCAAATCATAGAAAAGTAGGGCTATAAGGGAGATCATCTAGACGAGTTCTACGTTAATGTGAAGTGGGCTGGATGTGTGGTGCAGGTCCCATCCATGGGCCAGATCAGACCCCATGCACCAGGGTTGGGGCCTGTGCTGCTGGATGAGGCCCTGCATTGCCTCCTTCATCCCCTTGTCACTGAATTGGGCACATCCTGCCTCCATGGAGCTCTGTACTGCCTCCCTCAGTTCTATGCCACCTCCCTTAGCTCTGTGCTGCCTCCCTGGGGATCTAAGTCCCATCCCTTGGCTCTATACCACCTGCGCTGCCTCCTTGGAATTCTGCATCCCCTCCCTTGGCTCCATCCTGCCTCCCTAGGGCTTTGCCCCCCTGCTCCCAACTCATTGCCACCCACCCCACTTCCCTGGAGCTTCATGCCACCTGCTTGGGGTCCTGCATTGCCTCTTCTTGGTTTCATGTTGCAGAATTGGGCCCCGCACTGCCTCTAGCTGACTACTGGGCCATGTCCATGTGCTAATCCAGCATGCTATGTGGCCACAGAGCTCCCTGTGGGGCTGGAAATTTGGCAGCTAGGGGGTAACAATTGCTGCCACTGCTCCCCTGCTGCCCAATTTTTGGACCCTTGGGGACCCCTGCGGGGATGGCATGGCTCTGCAGGCTGGATTGCAGCTGAAGGCCAGATCTCACTTGCAGGCCAGAGGTTGAACACCCCTGATCTAGTCCAATCCCTTGTTCAAGGCAGGATCATCCCTATCAAACCCATCCTGCACAAGTGTTTGTCTGGCCTATTTTTAAAAACCTTGGGAGCTACCTAGTTTCATAGTTGGTAGGGTCAGAAGGGACCTGAGCAGATCATCAAGTCTGACCTGCTGACATGGCAGGAAAGAGTACTGGGGTCAAATGACCCCAGCAAGGTGTTCATCCAGCCTCCTTTTAAAGACCTCTAGGGTAGGACCCAGCACCACTTCTCTTGGAAGTTGGTTCCAGATCCTAGCCACCCTGACAGTGAAGTAGTGCCTCCTGATATCTAGCCTAAATCTAACTTCTGACAGCTTGTGACCGTTATTTCTGGTCACTTCTGGGAGTGCTCAGGGGAAGAGGGACTCTCCCAATGCCTGCTGGTCCCCTCTGCCTAGTTTGTAAATGGCCACTAGATCCCCTCTCAGCCTTCTCTTGTGGAGGCTGAACAGGTTCAGGTCCCGTAGCCTCTCCTCGTAGGGCCTGCCCTGCTGGCCCCTGCACCTGCAGGTGGCCCTCCTCTGGACCCTCTCCATGTTGTCCACATCCCTCCTGAAGTGCAGCGCCCAGAACTGGACGCAGTACTCCAAGCACAGCCTGACCAATGTCACATAGAGCAGGAGGATCACCTCCTTGGACCTGCTCGTGATGCATCTGTGGATGCATGACAAGGTTGGCCTTCCTGACCGCTTCCCCGCACTGTCGGCCCATGCTCATTTTGGCATCAATAATGACTCCAAGATCCTTTTCTGCCTCTGCACTGACAAGAAGGGAGCTCCCCAACGTGTAGGTCTGCTGCTGGTTCTTCCTCCCCAGGTGCAGCACCTTGCACTTGTCAGTGTTGAACCCCATCCTGTTCTCATCCACTCCCCCCTGTAACCTGTCTAGGTCTGATTGCAGCCTATTCCTTCATTCAGGTGTGCCCACTTCTCCCCACATCTTAGTGTCATCTGTGAATTTGAACAGGGTGCTTTTTACCCCCTTGTCCAAGTTGCTGATGAAGATGTTGAACATTGTGGGCCGAAGGCCCGAGCCCTGGGGAACCCCACTGCCCACATCCCTCCAGGTCAAAAATGACCCGTCCACCACCACTGTCTGGGTGCGGCCCTCCAGCCAATTGTCAGATGGGTTGCCTGTGTCGGTGTCAATGCCACAGTCCCCTAGTTTTTTAATGAGAATGGGGTGAGAGACAGTGTCGAAGGCCTTCCTGAAGTCCAGAAAGACTACGTCCACTGCTACACTTGCATCTAAGGATTTTGTGACTTGGTCATAGAAGGCCACCAGGTTGGTCTGACAGGACCTGCCTCTAATGAACCTGTGTTGGTTGCCCCAAAGCATAATCTCCCCTGCTGCCTCATGCACAACTAATAGGTACAATGCACAACTAGTAGTTATAATGTACCAAACATTCAAAACATCCTAGCTGGTCAGAGATAAAGCAGGGGGATGCGGGCATGCCAATATCCTTTCACTGCAAGAACAGGAAGTAGTTTGTTAAAATACACTCCAGATCCAAAGAAGAGGACCTTACCCCCTTCTACAGGGGATTACAAAAGTCACAGGATCATAGGAAAGTAGGGCTGGAAGCCTTGCCAGCTTCCTCTTTTCTCCACCTCTGTTCAGTCTCTCAGTAGCCTTGGATTCCAGGATACTTCTGGGCCCCCCTGCTTTCCAGGGCTAAAACCTGAGACATGGGGCTTTGCAGCCACTCTAATTGATACCTTATATCAACATAGCAGCCCCTTGGGCTCTGGAGCTGGAAGCTCTGACCCACCTTGGAGAAGTGAATTAGGCAAGGTGCTGGAACAACCTGTTCTGTAGCCTTCCCCATCTTGCCTTACAGTTGCTCGGGGTTACAGACACAATTCAATCATAGGGCTTGTCCCACGGACCTATGATTTACCAGACCAGGAACGAAAGGGAACACTGCAACAAAAATTCCTTCCTTTTTAGGGATACTGACAATGTTCATAACAGCTTTCTCTTCCTCAGTCAGGGGCAATCTGGCCTTTTTTGTCCCAGCTATCTGTTTCATGTAGAGCCAAAGCAAGTTGTAGTGAAGGTATTTCACTAAACATTTTGTAGCTAGCAGGTCTGTAACCCAATTTCAAACCATCCTCAATGCACATAGGATCATTTCAGCCACCTTTTGCAACTCTGCTTGTTTTTTTTCTTTTAGCATCCATGAACTTTGCCCTTTATGCAGGAATCATTGGTGGTGTTGTTGCTGCAATCATTGTCATTGGCATTCTGGCCTACTGCTGTTGCTGCCGGAGCAAAAAGGACAAGGACTATGAGATGACGTAAGTGCCTCTGACCAAAAGTGGGTAGGATACCCAAGCACAGTCATCTTTTCTCTCTACCATTGACATACAGTATCTCAGGGAGAGAAAGAATATAAAAAATGAGAGAAGAGTACACAGGTTTTACTCGATGTGAGAGTAACACAAAAAATCTTAAAAAGCACTGTGCAGTTTTTGCCTCTATAGCTTGTCCTTTTCAGATCTCATTTGGGATATTCCCACTATTACCAACTCAGTTGTGCTCTCACCAGCTCCCTTTCCAGTTTTTGGTAGAGAGTACAAAAAACCAGTCAAGAAGGAAGCCCTATGAATTCCTGAAGTCAAGATCACTAAATCTTTTTTCCCAGCCTCTACAGTTGCTCTGCTTGCTTGGCCTGTTTACCAGGGCAGGTAGGACATGATAGACTCACATATCAGAAATGGGCTCCCAATGGCTGCTGTCACTGTAGAGCAGGGATGGGCACAATACGTCCTGCCAGGCCATTCTATTTGGCCCACAGGGCCCCTCCAAAAGACAATTATTACTGGCCTGATGCAGATTTATTACGGTCTAAGTGTGACTTGTAACTTCACGCTTACAGACGTACACAGAATCAGGGGAAGTGGGACTTAGCACATTGTATTTTGAATACTTCACAGGTACTTAAAGCAGGACAATGGACCCATACCCTCTGTCAGAAATGCGCACTTGTCAAGGGGCAGGGCTACCCTTGTGACCCTCAACAGCTCACCAAGAGTCGTTAAGCGGCCCTCTGGCCAAAATAATTGTCCACCCCTGCTGTAGAGAGTGGTGTGGGCAGACTGCATGCAATCTGCAGCTCTTCAAGAAGGACTTACAGGAAACGGAAGTAGAGTGCTCACAGCTACTCAAGCCCCAACAGGAGGTGCTATAGCCATGGTGAAGCCCTTAGGGCAAGGGTGGGCAAAATAGGGCCTATGGGCCAGATTTGGCCTGCGAGGCCATTTTATCTAGCCCATGGGGCCCCTAAAAAAATTGAGAAAATTAATATTTATCTGCCCTTGGTTCCTGTAAAAAAGTACAGGAACCAGGGGCAGTAGGACCCAGGGGAAGCCCCAGTGGGTTCCCACAACAGCAGGGCCTGCCTGGCCCCACCCCCCCAGCTGGAAGCCCCAGCAGGGGCTTCTGGCCTGGGACCACATACCTGCCCTGTGCCGGAACCTCAGGTAAGGGGTGGGGGTGCGGAGAAGGGCAGGGGAGGAGTCTGGGGAAAAGTGGCCCGGGGAAAAGCTGAGTGCGGGGAAAAGCAGCCCCTCACCTGCCCCGTGGCTGACACCCCATACAGCAGCCACTTGTAGCCTTAATGGGGCTGCCTGTGCCTGCTCAGGACAGCCCTGTGCGTGCTGGCTGTGAGCGCCTGCAGCAGGGAGCCCCAGCCACGGGGCGGGGAGGGGCCGCTATTCCCCACACACAGCTTTTGCTTTTACCCGGGCTCCTTCCCTGCATGGAGGGAAGTGGCCCCTTCCCCGCGCCCCCCGCCCGCCAGCCGCTCACAGCTCCATGGGGCTGTCCTGAGCAGGCACAGCCATCCCCAGGCGGGCTGCAGTTTGGGGCGCGGGGCAGGCAAGGGGCCGCTTCCCCCCCCACCCCCGCTCAGCACCAGCTTGTAACCCACCCCCACTGCCAGCCTGGGCCCCATGCTGGCTCTGTGCAAGGCAACAGCAGCTGCGGGCCCCCCCCCTGCTGTGG